GAAATCTAATTTCCTCGGAGGCCGAAAATGGTGGTCAGATTTGAAACACCCAGAGAAAATCGAGTATTCTTTGACGTTCCGTTTGGGGACGAAGTACATATAGAAGCGGAATGTTGACTATCTCCAACCGTATTTGAGCGACGATATTATCAACGGTTTTGAGGTACTCATCATATAATGTAGTGACTGGCTGTGTCAACTGCGTACCTTTATGGATATTGCCGCCTCACAAACAGTACTCTTGAGTAGTCGTTTCTTCCACCCTTGGCAGTACGTTCGCACTTGCTACAGTTTGAATGAATGCCTTGATGCCCAAGACTGCGCAGCGTATTCGTTAGTGTGCAAGATACGTAAACGCTCCTGTATAAGGGCCTACGCACTGCGATATCCTACGGAAAGTGTAAGAGATGTCCATTGGACTGAAAGGTATTCTACGAAGGATTAAGCACTCGTGAACTAACTCTAAGATATGACCGCTCATGACTTAGGGATTCGATCGTTTGGGCTCAAGTCTGAAATCGAACAGAGCGCAGCAGTTATGTGGTAGCCCTTTGCCGTACTTGTATTTATTCACAACTTTATCTTACTTTTATTTGTACATAACTTTCTAGACTAATTCTGTTGTTACGCATTTCTGTAAACTGCATTTATCGCCTTTTGTTTAAGTTGGTGTACCAATGTTACCCGCGACGCTTCAACTGGTTCGAATTACGATTATCAGTAGCAGACATCTCGCTCCTATTGTTGTTCTTCACTGGACGGTGTGGACAGGGTATTCGGCGTGGCTTATCTTGACATGTTTTTAGCGTGGGATAGCAGCATCGATTGCCTTTCTTTTCAGCTAAAATTATTCACAGGACAAAGGGCGCTGGCAATATCGTCCAACAATACGAATGTGTGGATGTCAAGACTGCTGGACTGGCGTTTCGTCAGTTACCGACCTCTTGTTATGCCGCCATCAAATGCATGACTTTGGTGATGGTTTTGAAGGTTAACTCAAAATGTTAGGTGAGGGAAAGTATTGCATTTGCCTCGACGATGGAAGTAGCTAATAGATAAGTGCATTTGTGTTCTGGTTTTATTTTACGTCTTTCAAATTGCATTCTCCGTTTTGACCTATTCTATAAGTGTCAGCCTGTATTTCCTTCTTCTTCTTCTTCTTCTTCTTCTTCTTCTTCTTCTTCTTCTTCTTCTTCTCCTCCTCCTTCTTCTTCTTCTTCTTGTTCTTCTTACTCCTTCTTCTTTTTCTCCTCTTCTTCTTCTTCTTCTTCTTCTTCTTCTTCTTCTTCTTCTTCTTTTTCTTCTATCTTCTTCTTCTTCTTCTTCTTCTTCTTCTTCTTCTTCTTCTTTTTCTTCTTTTTCTTCTTCTTCTTCTTCTTCTTCTTCTTCTTCTTTTCCTTCTTCCTTTTCTCCACTATCGCGAGTACAACCATTCGTGTATCTTCCGGCGTCGAGTCCTTTTTTCCAGGGGATAACGCAGGAGTTCACAAGCCATGGGTAGGTGAACGGGCTGACTTTCCTTCAGGGTAAACTGTTTGGTTTATTATCACACTTTAGTTGGCTGTATATCCGTCGATATATCAGAAAAGTTGGAAAAGAGGAAGCACCGGAACAGGCACATTTTTTTTCACTCACGAGCATAATTATTCTGCGAGGTTGAAATACATTCTTGATGTTATTACTGCTCGTTATAGTCTGACGGTTTATGTAGGTGTCTGGACTGAACTCCACATGCTCTTGTAGCATAATTGGGTACAACGTAGCCCTTTTCCGCTAAGTGACAGCATATAAATAAGGTAGTCCATGTAAAAATATTAGAAAAGTAAACGCAGTTACTTTTTTTTCTTTTTTTTTACTTGCCACACATTACACCGTTAAACCGTTAGCTTTTAGGGATCACCTGGTCATTTCAGGTAGCTAACTCTTATAGCTTCCCAGGGTTAGGGCTTTCCATTTTGAACGATGTCTCTGATAACTTGTCGAACACACAGTCAGAAACAGAATTAAACACATTTAGTGGACTAATACTAAATGCACTATTGATGACAATCAGCTCACATATTCACTCTGTGTTCATACTTGGCGCAGGAATCTCTTTATGCTCCGCACCTGAGCCGCTTCTGTCTCTAATTTCATTATCAGTACTTGTTGGTTGGAATAACTGTGCGACTTGGCTCCGAATGCGCTCAGTCGAGGTAGAGTTCAGTCGCATGCGTCCTTCTTTAATAATTAACCAGCTCAGTTAAAGTCGCATGGCTGAATTAAGAGAAGAGATTCTTACAGCTGTGGGCCGGCAATCCATGCCCCAGGCTACCAGTACCGTCAGGATTATAAATTCATACCACAATTTTTGTCTAGTCGAAGTTGAAAGTGTGGCCTGGTCCTGTCGATAAAGGTATGACTTGGGGATTAGTGTTGTTTCTCATCACGGATACGTACTCGGCCGTCCACGTCAGGTGTAATTTTTCTACGTCTGTGACTTGGCTACTTTGCTCCTAGTCGTAATAGATCTGGTAAAGGTCGTCGAATGCTTGTGTCTTTCGGTGTCAATATGGGGTGCCTGACGTTTGCATTTGGTTTGACCGCAACCTCAACATCGAAATCACCAAACTATCCAAAGTTCCTGGGTCAGCGCTTGCTAGCTACGGCAGAAGCGACGGCTATCACCTTGATGAAGCCGACGTTGTGTGCACAAAATAAGCTCTAACAAGCTCCGCGTGACCCACAGTCACTTAGGGGCATGCACTCGTCCGCGCTCTATTTGTTTTTAATCCCTCCCCCTCCCCTGGACTGGCTCTGCGAAATTCTGCCCTCGTAACCAGTCTACTCCTCTCGACCCCTCCCTTTCTCCCATTCCCCCGACTCACTTGCAAGAGAAGGCGAACACGTTTAACTGGTCCGATGAGAATTTATCGAAAGCCTACGTACGCTTGCCAAGTACTCTTCAGAATTCTCTGATGTGAATTTTCGCAGCTTTAAAGGTACTTGTGTACTGATTTGGCAGTGCATATTTTCAAGAGGAGTTTAGTTCACATTTTCGTATGAAGGTCGTTCGAGGGAATACAGTGCCCTGACGATGCTTTTGATAATATTTGGCAATAGGAATTCGGCTAAAGAGATATGTTTCTTGCTTTCACGTCGTACGTTTGAACCTAAAAGCAAAAACGGGTTTTGCCAATGGCTGAAGTGTCCCAGTTAACTCCCTCAGCCACGTAAGTGAAACTAGCAGTAAAAATGCACATACTTCCTTCCCTAGCATAAGCCTCATCTGCGTATTCCAGAACGCGGAAGACTTCTTCCCATCGTCCAGATCAGCTCCCACAAAAAAAACTTCGCCAAGTTAATAGACATACCGTCTTACCGCATTAATTGTTTCCTTTCGGCCATAGTGGTTACCAGGTTGTGTGACTGCGGCTTCGGTGAAACCTAAATCAGTGCTGAGGGACAGGGGTGGACCGTTTTGAAGAGCCGTAGCTTGAAGAAAAACACTGAAACGAGTTCGACTGCAGCGAGTATCAGTTCTTACATAGACACCCTATCCACTTAAAGCATCACTGACAACCTAAAAATAGACCACTGTGCCGAATTTCCAGTAATCGACGACCATGACGTTAAATGTTTTATACATGCACTTCGAAAAGTGGCATTAGCCCATTCTGTTTTCTACTGGAAAGGCTGGTCATCACATGATGACCCTTACAGAAGTGTTTGTATGGCCTTTTTAATGATATTCCTTCGTTAAATAGCAATTAAAGATAATTGAAACATTGTTTCCCCGAAAGAAATTTGAATAAGGCAAAGATCACGAGACTGGCAAAATTTATTGACGTCATAGGATTTCACGACCTCTTACTCAACTGCAAACGGTCGTTGCCTATTAACAAGATAAATTAACTGCCCAATTAAATATCCACTAAGAAGGGTAAAACTTGATAGGTAAATAGAGTAGGAGCTATTAGTCTTAGATGGGGGTTCATGGTGAGGGGGTGGAGAAGGGGAAGGTAGCTATCGCAGCAAGGCAGTTCATGTTACAGTGAAAGCCTGTCAGGAGTGATGAAGGGGGGGGGAGAGGAAGCAAAGGACAGGGCAGCAGTCGATCAGACTTTGATTAGTTCAGGTTGAAAGAAGAAAAATGTTAAATGGATAATTCATTTGGTTGATACTCATTTTTGGACTGATACTAACTTCCCTCTTCCTCACTCAAAAACAATGTCACAGAAATGACATATGGGTTGCCGATCACAATGTTGTTTTGATTGTCTCTGTGGGAACTAAAACACACACATACACACGGACTTTGACATCGATCCCCTAGATAATTTCACTTTGCATTAAAATTCGTTATTCCAAAAGCCTTAGATTCAATTATACCACCCCGGCTTGTTGTGAAATCGTTCGTTGCGGCGTACTTTATATCGATTTTGTTAATTGTCAATATAACTGAGTAGTTTTGAAGGCAGTGGCTGGCGTTTTGTTTGAGCCAGCTTTCTTCGTCAACACACTGAATAGCTTTTTTGTGAGTTTGGTTAATAGCACGTTGTGCTTCTCCGCTGCCATTTTACATGAGAAGTTCCATAAATTTTGCTTTCTGTGGCTTACATTTCAAATAACTCATGACCTCAAGGGTTTTGCAATCAAAGAAATAAACAGGAATGAGACTAAAACAAAAATACTTATTTACGCTTCCTATCTTGCCCATCATGCCATCCGAATTTTCTGATACCGATCACCGCTCTTTTTC